TGTGTGTGTGTGTGTGTGTGTGTGTGTGTGTGTGTGTGTGCGTGTGCGTGTGCGTGTGTGTGTGTGTGTGTGTATGTGTGTGTGTGTGTGTGTGTGTGTGTGTGTGTGTGTGTGTGTGTGTGTGTGTGTGTGTGTGCGCTGTGTGTGTGTGTGTGTGTGTGTGTGTGTGTGCGTGTGTGTGTGTGTGTGTGCGTGTGTGTGTGTGTGCGTACCTGTCCATCACTTCCTTTGCCAACACGTCAAGCCTCGTCTGCAGGTAGTTCTTTGTTGTTGGATCCTGAAAAAAATAATAGATTTATAGAAAAAAGACAGAAATATAAAATAATTCAATTTAAATAATTAAGAATAATAATAAATGCAATAAATAATAATAAATAAAATGTAAACAAATATTTATAATAATACCAATACAAATAAATTACATCAATATTTTAGATTTGTTTTAATATGGATAAATGACATTGCTTATGCATTATATTATATTATATTAAAGCTCCAGATGAAAAGCAAGAAGGACCTGGAGGGGATACACAAATGATGTATAGTTGATGTCTATGTCATGTATTCTCTGCGAGATGATTCAGTAATTAATGTGTGTTTAATACATATTGCAAAGCTTAATATTCTGTGTATTCTCGTACCGTCTTGCAGCCTCGGGGCAGCAGCAGCTCCACGGAGGCAACGCTGGTCTCTCTGAACGTTTGGTTTCCTCTCCAGCGAATCACAGTCTGAACACGAATTCCCTCCAGAGCGGATTCTACCTGAAGAGCCTCGACACACAGCAGGGGGGCGAAGCGCTCTGCCAGGTCCTGACAGGACACACACACACTTTAATACTACAGTAAACAACAATAACAAACACTGAGGGGGGCGGAGTGTTCTACAGCTCTTGTAGAATTTGTAGTTTTTCGAGTATTTATATGTATATATTGTAGTATTTGTAGTTATTTTAGTTCTTGTAGTATTTGTAGTTCTTGTAGTATTCATAGTATTTGTAGTTATTTGTAGTATTTGTAGTTCTTTTTAGTATTTGTAGTTCTTTCTGTAGTTCTTTATCACCTGCATGTGTCTGGTTCCCGGCCGGTTGTCCTCCTCGGTGTACGGAGGAATCCAGAGCTGAATCTTCTCCTGTTTCAGACGCTGCTTCAACTTAGACTCAAGATTCTGATCCGCCATCACTGAGGAGGAGGAGGAAGAGGAGGAGGAAGAGGAGGAGGAGGAAGAAGATGAAGAGGAAGAGAGCAAGGAGAGGAAGAACTATTTTACATTGAAATATTTTTCTAATTAAATAACTTTCCAGGAAATATATTATAAACTTTAGATACATTTGTATTTATGTATCCCAAACTGAGTAATGATTGAGTCCCAGCTGAAGTGTGTACCATTACAAGAGTTACACATACTCAAAAGATACAATAAGATGTACAGATAATAAAATTAATTATATTTGTTCGTATCTTCATCTTTACGGTTAATTAGTAACGTTTAGCTAGCTTGTTAGTTAGCTGTAAACACTTTTGAAACACTCCTATTAAACAAAACAGGCTACAGTGGCTAGTAACTGTACATGTGTGCCATCTGACATGAAGCTAAACATGAACTTAGATAAATTAATGATATTATTTAACCTGCGTTATACAATAAATCAGATGCTAACAGCTAGCATTGATTAGCTGTAAATGTGTCGCAGCTGTTAGCTCCAAACAGCTTGTTTACACTGTTTTTATCCTTTAAATCTTCCACAAAACGATGTTAAATCTTCCTGACAGTTACCTTAGTGTCACAGGACACGATGTGACGGATCTCTGAAGTCTAAAAATATCTTATTTATGAGTTAAATCTGCGTTAAATCTGCAGTTATTCAGCAGCACGATGGTGTTGTTTTGGTCTCTGGGACGTTTTAGAGAGGAGAAGAAGAAGCCTCACTCTGAGCACGTTTCAGGAGACGGAGGACGTAACGTAAGACGACGTAATGGCATGGTAACAGAACGGTGTGACGTCAACGGAGAGATACTGACCTTCCTATACATAGACGATCTTTGTTCAATTGGGAGACTAAAATAAATTGAGAATATATAAAAATAATATTAATAATAATATTTTATTATGGTCATGAAGGATGGGTCATGACCGAAAGAACGAGATCGCGGGTACAAGCGGCCGAGATGGGTTTTCTCCGCAGGGTGGCTGGTGTCTCCCTTAGGGATAAGGTGAGAAGTTCGGTCATCCGGGAGGGACTCGGAGTTGAACCGCTCCTCTTTCGCGTCGAAAGGAGCCAGTTGAGGTGGTTCGGGCACCTAGTTAGGATGCCACCTGGGCGCCTCCCTAGGGAGGTGTTCCAGGCACGTCCAGCTGGGAAGAGACCAAGGGGTAGACCTAGGACCAGGTGGAGGGATTATATCTCTTCGCTGGCCTGGGAGCGCCTTGGGATCCCCCAGTCAGAGCTGGTTGATGTGGCCAGGGAAAAGAAAGTTTGGGGCTCTCTGCTGGAACTGCTACCTCCGCGACCCGACCACGGATAAGCGGGAGAAGATGGATGGATGGATGGATGGATGGATAATATAAAATGAAAAAAAACGGTTAGAATAAAGTGGAAATAAATTAAAAATATATATAAAATCGAAAAAGGCAAAAACAAAGTAGAATGTTTTGATTTAATCTATGCTTTATTTACTTTGCAAACAAGTTTAATCAAGGCTCACATTACTGCATCAATTAACTGACATGTTCCTATCATTGAGTCTGTGTTATGCACATGTCCTACATCTTGTAAGTGTTCAGAAAAGTGTAAACAAATACAGAAGCCCATTGAAAGCTCAGTTTAATACATTGGAATTAGTTTAAATATTCAACCCAGTGAAAAATCGTATGAATTTTATATATTTATGGAAGTAAGATAGAAGAAAACCCCTTTGCATGAAACAAATAGTGAGATTTTTGATGCATTAATTGAAATATATGAAACAGCTGCGTGGAGGTTGATCAGAAGGAGGCGTACAGCCCCAGCCTTTTAGCCGCCTCAGAGATTCTGGGTGTTTTCCTGCTGGGGAACGGATGGTATTCATGAGGACCCCCCATGGAGGAGGAGGAGCCCACCGACAGCTGCCTCTGCAGGACTCTGGGCCGCTGGACCTCCGTCAGGCTGCAGGGGGAGGAGGCGGGGGGGCAGCTCTCCGTCTCTACTTCTTCTTCTCCTCTGAACCCCCCAGAGGCTTCTTCTTCTTCTTCTGTGGTGCAGCAGCAGGAGGAGGAGGAGTCAGAGGAGAGCTTCCTGTTGTTGGACGAGTCTGACGAGGAATGACTGAGAGAC